TACTCTGTGTCTCTCTAGCAAAACGCAATGTTGAAGATGAATATATGTATATCCTAGATTTGATTATTGTACAATGTATGCATGCTTTAGAAAAACCATTCTGCATCCCCAAAGATATACATAGAATATATGTATACCAGAAATTAAAATTTAAAAAATGGTTTGCATTTAACTGTAAGAAAAGAATGGAGTCATTTAAAGGCCGGAGAGATTAAGATCTCCTATTCTTCTGTGAAATCTCTCTCCCCTAATGCTTAACATTCTGCTTCATGCAGTTTGATGTTCTGGTACTTAGAATAATGGGATAGAGTATTAGTTGCCCTGTGTTATAAAATAAAATATCAATCTATAATTCATCACACAAAGGTAAGCAGATTCCATATTTCTTTTGTGATATGAGATGGTTACTAAAAAATTGCAATTATGTATTTTCTGGAAACTTGTATTTCAAGTTTCCAGAAAATAATTTAAGATTTAGGAAATAATTTTATAACCCTCCCACTTCCTTACACCTTACAAATTAGAGCCTAACACCAGTAGAGCAATTTATTATCTGTTATCTGTGTGTGTAAAATTTTAAACAGAAGGGTGATAGTATCTTATTACTTTTTTATTTTTTCTTAGAGAGAGATTTTCCTATAGAGCGTGTGTGCTTGCCAGAGAGACAGAAAATGAGAAATCACTGCCAGCAGAGGTGACCATGCCGCAGTCCCTTCTCCTCCATTCTCCTCTTGGGATTTTGGGCACGCACGCACATGCACCCGGCGTGAGTTTTTTTTTTTTTTTTTTTTGGAGAGGTTTTTTGCTATAGGGTGCATGTGCTTGCCAGAAAGACAGAGAGAGACAGAGAGACAGAAAGCGAGAAATCATCCCCCCAGGGGGATGGCCATGCCACAATCCCTTCTCCTCCATTCTTGTCTCAGGATCTTGGGCACGCACGCACATGTGCCTGGCATGAATTCAAGCCACCGGGTCCGGGACTTGAACCGCGGTCGGCTACTTGGGAGTTCAGTGACATAGCCACTATGCTAACTTCTGGTCCCATGAGTTTTAAGTTGGAAGATCCTGGATTTGAACTACAACCGACTGACTATGCGGGAATCAGTGACATAACCATTATGCTATCTGCTGGTCCCCGACTTACTACTTTTAAATAGAAGTAGCCAAAGTATATTTCTAACAAACTACATGCTTCTCTAGGTCAAGACCTAGCTTTGCATCCATGTCTCTACAACAGCTGGAGTGAGAACACCACAAAGATAAATATGGTTGGAGGGAACACATCTGTCTTTAGATTTTGTGTCTTTTTCAAAGGACTTTCTGAATAAACTTAAGAGGAAGTTAAAAATATGTCGAAGGTCCTTAAGATGTACCAAACAATGACGATGACAACAAACCAATGCTTTGGCTAGGGCAAAGGTACGGGAAAGGGCTTGCTGTGAGCTCGTGCACTTCATGAAGTGAAGGACTTTGTGTCAAGACGAAAGTGCAAATGGATAAAGAGCCTTGATTTCTACAGCCCAAGCGGAGATGGGAGAAACAGGAGAAACAGGACCGTGGGCTTAAGATCAAACAAAATGAGAACCGGGATGGCCTCTTGCCGGTTTCCCCAAAGCCATCTGTTCTTATCCTAAAGGTTAAGAAAGATTCTTTTGAGACTCGCTGAACAAATGAGATCCTGTTCCTTCCTTGGGAAAACTTGTTTATACTGTATCTGTTTTTAGACCTTGTAAAAGTCGGTGAACTTGGTTCTTCCCCATTCGCCTAAATTCTTCCACACTCAGCAAATATCAACAGGAAAGGGTTTCAGTCGTTGATAACAATGAAAGCAGGGAGCTCACGCAGGGACTTAATAAGCTGGCCGTGCTGTTGGAGGGAAAGACAGAGACACATCTCCTGCTCCTGTTTATAGAAGAGTGGGTTGGAAGGGACAGGAAAAGATACTGAAATCGGGGTAGATTTATTCCGACAGTGACAACAGCATCGTCTCTGACACAACGCACGCCAGTCTAAAGATTCATTTTGGACCTGTCAAAGCCTTCAAGTCGAAAATTATTCTCAGTGGCTGGAACTTGGTTAAACAAATTTTACCATGCAAGGGAAAATGAAGTGACTTTTGGAAGTGTTGTAGGAGAAGAAATCTCAGGCAGGAAATGAGAAAATAACAGTATTAGCCAGATAGGAAGTGCTATCCCCAAGTAGGGCCCCTGGAAAATAGATGATGGTTGAGCAAAGTACCCGGTGAAGGAAGTGACTTGAATCCTCCCTAGAGTATTGGCTGAACAAGTACTGAAAGGGATGAAGAATCAGAGCCAGCAATGGTACCAACCCAATCTGCTTTGGGCAAAATACTGGGTAGTTTGGCTTGGTAACCAAAGCTGTGGCAATTTCACCAACAAAATAGGCTTGGTAACCAAAGCTGTGGCAATTTCACAAACAAATAAGAATGGGGCCCTCAGGTGGCATAGTGGTTAAAGGCGCTGGATTCCCATATAGCCGACTACAGTTCAAGTCCTGGACCTGGTGGCTTGCTTTCTTGCTTTCTCTTTTCTCTATCTCTCTCTCTATCCCCATCTGGTTAAATAAAAAAATAATAATAACAAATGGAATTAAATAAATAAATAAATCTTTAAAAATGATTAAATAAGGACAATACTTAATCCAATAAATATTCAAAACTCCATGCTAATGTAAATGTTTCATAAATAGATAAATAACAAGGGGTGGCAAGAATGGAACAGACCTTTCTTACAACTTATAATTAAATGTAGAAGTAAGAAAACGGAAACATAGAAAATCTCCCTTAGGCAACCATAACAGTAATAATCGTTGCAGGCAGAAATTACTGATGGATCCTGAAATCAGTGGATAAAAAGGAACAGAACAAATCTAATATCTTTGCTAAGTAGGTGTTTAGAAACGAGTCAAAGTATTTTTTACAAGATATGTATTAATTACAAACAGAAAATGGCAGAAACCTGGCAGACAACAACCTTAACCAACTGATCAAATCTAACATCGTTAATTATCTTGTGCTGACTGATACATATTGAGAAGGGTACAACATCACTTCTGTAATACTTTTGCTCAAAATATTATAATCTCAATCTAATTATTAAAAAAAAAAATTCAACACAACCCAAAGTGAGAGAGAGCCCATTCGCCAATGGATTTAAACTCCTCACAAGTGGTAAAGCCATAAAGACAAAGATAAATTGAATAAGCGTCGCAAGGTGAGGAGACTAAGGAGGCTCACATATTATATCAATTTAGGATCCTGGGCTGAACCCCATCCTAGAAAATACATACTAGGGATGTGAAATTTCAAATAAGGTTCTACAGATTACGAGCATTGTACCAATGTTAATTTCCTGTTTTTGATCTCTATCCTGTTTAGGTTAGATGGTAACACTAGAGAAAACTGTGATAAAACTATATGGGAACTCTATTCTATTTTTTGTAGCTATTCTATAAGTCTAAAACTACTAACAAAACAGGGTTGGAACCACAGTTCAGTGGTTAAGTGTTGAGCATTGGAAGCCAGATACCACATGGCCAACTGTAGTACGAATTCCAGCCCTGGTGGTTTGATAAACACACTGAGCGCATACGCATCCACTCTCAAAATCTGGACAGAAAGGAGAAATAAAGAAAAAAGGATTGAGGCATGATTACACCCCATCGCAGGGTACTTTCTCTTTCTTGTCAGTGCACACACCTTCTGGCAAGATATATGAGGAATATATAGATACGTGTGCGTGTGTGTGTGTGTGTAAAAGCAAAAAGTCTAAACAGAACTGGGGTTAGCTTGCTTCATTCAACAGTCAGACAGGACAAGGCTGGGGTGCCTATATTTCTCAGGTGAGAACTAAGACCCTGATGGAAAGTGAGAAACAGCTATAGCAATGTAGACCTCAGCTTTTCTCACTTCCTAGATCGTCAGGGGTTAATACCCCCTAAAACAGCCACCTCGCCCCTGCACCCCAGGTGTTTCCAGTCCTCATCTACATTCTCATGTTCAAAGCAGTAATGGCCTCCAATATTGTAAAGGACTCCTGCAACTTGCAAAGAAGGCCCAGCAGAGGGAAGCTGAGGAAACCGTCATTCAGAACCAACGACTCTAAAAGAGCAAGGAAAGGAGATGGCTGAACTTGAGGGAGAAAGGTCCATTTAGCTGTTCCACTTGGGGTCTGCAGAGGAAAAGCAGGAGGAAAGAAGGTATCTCAAAGCATCTTCAAGGCTTAACCACTGAGAGCATGGCTTTCCTCAATAACCTCTCTTCACTGGGTTTTTCAAAACCTAAACAAATGTATCAAATCATTTGCCTGTTTGGTCCAACAATAGTCCTATCCGTAAAAGTAAATTTTGAGTCAAATCCTTTTCCCAGAACTAACAACTGTGAAAAACCTTCAAACAAAAAGAAACAAAAAAATTGATATTTATCTAAGTAAAATGATCTATTTTATAAATATAAATAATTCTTATAAATATTATTAGTGATCATCTCTTGCCAGATATTTAAATGTCAGTGGAGAGATGGGTCAAGGGAAGAGTAATTATACAAGACCTTATGAAAGGAGATACAAAGCTTCCAAATATGGCTTTCAGCTTGAAAACCTAGCTGTTTGGCATCATTCCAAATAGTTCTGAAAAAACTGTGTACTACCATATTTGGAGTAACTCTCATTGTGGAGTTAACTGGGTTGCAAGTCCTTAAACAATCAGGACTGAAGTAAATAACATGGTATCATTTTGATGGAGGGCCCACCTCTAAAACAAGATGGCGGACCACACTTACCTCCCACAGCATTACAGCGAGATGTCATTTCCCAGAGCACCAGAGCCATGGAGTAGACATCGGTCTGCTTGAAAGACTCCACATTCTCCAAATTCATCCTGGATTCTAGCACTTCTGGGGCCATGTATCTTGCAGTTCCCACCTAGAGCCGAAACAGACAATGAGGCCCATCTCTATTTTCACAATACAGGTATTGCTTGTCCCTCACATGGGCAGATGATCTTTAAATCTTGTAATGCTGTTTTGACTAAAGACCTGAACAGAAAGCATTTATGATTGTTTATAAAAATAGATGTTCTCGGGCCTGCAGGTGGTGTGGTGAATAAGGGCGTTGGACTCCCACGTGGCCAACCGCGGTTTGAGTCCTGGACCTGTTGGCCTGATTTCTCCCTTTCTCTCTCTCTCTCTCTTCTCTCTGGTCAAATTAAAATAAATAAAATAAAGTTAAATAAAATAAGTCTTAAAAAAAAATAGATGTTCTCTCCCTGAAAACATTTTAAAGACTATAAACACAGCATGCCAAAAACAAGGGAGTGCCAAGCCCCAGAGCCACCATATCTAGCCTCGTGATGTATGTCATCACATTTTTTAACAACATCCTTTCAGATAGCCTGGAAGACAACATGTGTGATATTTTAGATGTTTATTTTTTATTTTGCAAATTAAATATTTTCCATTCCTGAAACCCAAGACCTGTGGTGAAAATAATATTTGCCATCAGTTTTGATCAGTTAAGGGCTGTGTCTTAATCTCTGTTTACCCTATGGCACATTTCAATGAACCAAGGATGCAGTATAATATCATAAATTCTCTACTAAATTAAATTATATGAAAGTATTTCCGTAGTAAAAAGACCAAATCTGGATTACTTTATCATTGTTATGGGTGTGACATGTCGTTTTATCTGGATTGTGAGGCCTGTGCTAATCTCTATGACTGATGATTTGCAAACATGGGATTCTTAGGATAAAGGAAAAAAATATTTCTCAAGAATGTATCACTTCAATGTTTGAAACTGGAGCTCACAAGGCTTACCTAAGTAACAATGAAGTCCTAACTTCCAAAGGACATAAGGAAGGTCAAGTCAGTTGGTATTATTATTCCAAGGAATGTTTTTTATTGGCATGCATTATAAGAAACGTTTCTTTTTAACAGGTCATTGCATGAGTCATTACCTTGGCACATTAATCTGTCCGTGTTTCAACATATTTACCTCAACACAGCATGGGCTGCCATAGACACCAGGCTGGGCTGTAACTGAAAGCTACAGAAGCATGTCCTACCACCTGGCTAGAGAAAACAATGGTGCCCTTGATAGGGCTGTTTGAGACCATGGGGCCATCACTTGGAAGGGAGGTCCTGATAATTTCTTTCTGTCTTTTCTTTCTTTTCTTTTTTTTTTTAAATGTATTTATTTTTGAGAGAGATTTTTGCTATAGGGCACGTGCACTTGCCAGAGAGACAGGAAGCAAGGAACCAACCCCCAAGGGGCATGGCCATGTCATAATCCCTTCTCTTTCATTTCCTTTTGTGATTCTGGGCACGCACACAACACACACACACACACACACACACACACACACACACACACACACTGAGGCCCAGCGTGTTTTAAGGTCCTAGGTCTGGAACTTGAATTGTGGTCGACTACATGGAAATCCAGCAATATAACTATTACATCATCTCTTGGTCCCGGTCTTGATCATTCGTAATCACTTTCCAATAGCTTTTTAGCCTATAAGATTTCCACTTAAATCTGAGAGAACTTTGAAAGTTGAACGGTTCATTCATTCAACAAATATTTATTGATCACTTTTACAGCTCAAGCCACTGTGCTAGATGTCTTAGATAACAACACAGATGTGGGTTTGGGTTTCAAGGAAATTCTCCGCTAGAATGGTAAACAAACAACAACTGCTACCACTAGTGTAGAGTAGAAAAACAGCATAGCATAGAAAGGACTGAAATCTACCATAGCAAGGGGCAAAAATAGAGATAAAGCTTAACAGGGCTAGAAGCAAAGACAAGTCATTTGCAAATGGAAGAGAAATGAAGATTGACTTTGGGAGAAAAAATCTCTGTTCTGGGTTAGGAAGGATTTAAAGGGAGGAGGAGCTATGCTGTCTGTTCATTAGCAAAGATATCCAGGCAGTAAATAGTGGAGCATGTCCAGGGTAGATACCCTACTTTGGCTAGATTCCCTAGACAGTGTCCAAAGCGTAGGGTTGTTTGAGACAAGAGGCATGTGATAGGAATCCAGAGCGTATGGAGTAAGGAACATGATAAGGGGCATCTAGCACCAACCTGCTCTAACCTACCTGCCCACTGTTAGCCAGGTCATCCACAGAGAGTGTCGGGTCCAGACGCAGGGAAAGCCCAAAGTCACACAGGCAGCAGGTCAGGTCGTTCTTCACGAGGATATTGGAGCTCTTGAGGTCCCTATGGACAATGGGCATCTTGGGTCTCCCACATGGGGTGTGGTCACTGTGGAGGTGGGCGATGCCCCGCGCGAGGGAGCTGCCTAGCTTACGCAGGTCTTCCCAGCTGATGACGTGCCGTGTGAGGTACTCCTGGAGGTTGCCCTTGGTATGGAAAGCAGTGATCAGCCAGTACTGTTTCCCCAACTCTGTCTTCCGCTCCTCGGCCGTCAAGAACTGGAGGATGTTCTCATGCTTCAGGTTGATGTCTGAGAAGATGTCCTTCTCTGTCTTCCAAGAGGCATACTCCTCATAGGGGAAGATCTTGACAGCCACGGTCTCGAACTGCTCCGAAGTGTTCTGCTTCAGCTTTGCCTTGTAGACCTCTGCGAAGCGGCCTTTCCCCACCAGGGTGTCCAGCTCGATGGGCAGCAGCTCGGTGTTGTGGTTGATGTTGTTGGCACAGGTGGAACTGATGTCAGAGCGGTCGTCTTCCAGAATGATGGCACAGTGCTCGCTGCATTCCATGAACTTCCGTTGTTTGCTGGTTTCCCAGGCTGGACTCAGCTTCTGCTGCCGGTGGACGCGGTAGCAGTAGAAGATGATGATGACGGCTATGGCGATTCCCAGCGGTGGCAGCAGGCTGACGCCTGTCACTTGGAATATGACAAGCAACATGTTGCTGGTATTGTATTCTGATGTAAAGACAAAACAAGGGAGAGAGGGAGTTGGGGTCAGTAGGTATGCACTCTCAGGATGTGGGCTCATGCCTCAAGCACCTATAGATTTTAGTACAGTTTCTGTGGACACTATATTGTGAAATTTTATACAACGATGCTAGTATGTACTTGTTCAGTCTCTCCTGTCTCCTGTAATACATTCAATGTCTCCTCCTGTTCTCCCAAACTTCAGCTTGAATGTCATTCCTTAGGGGAAACCTAGGAAAACTAGAAAAAAAATGCCTTATTTTATATATTCTCATCACACTGTATCCTTTTCCTATGCAATAATTAAACACAATTTAAACAACTATGACTCTACTTACTGGTTTCATATCTGTCTTCCCTACTCTCCCCACCCCAGCAGACTGGGAACTCCATGCTCTGAGGCAGAGCAATTCTCTCAAACGTAACTACTCTGCACAGGGTAAGAGAAAGGGAAAAGAGCTGGGTAGATGGTACAGAACAGACGTCACGTCAGAGAATGGATGTATAGTTATTCAACTGGCCGTTTTTACCAACTATGGGCATTTGTGAGCAACAAATAAAAAAGTAAAATAAATTAAAAAAAAATAAAAAGTAATCAGACTACAGTGCAGGTGTCATATGGATGACCACAATGTCCTGAAGGGAACCCATAACCTGAATAATATTTGATACCATCACTTCATAAAATGCAGTGAAATATGAAGCTGGTACATGTCAGTATGGAATGTTTAGGTTTAATATGATCCATTACTTGTTCCGAAGGTAAGTTTAAGTGAAAATACTAACTTCCATTGATTATATATTCAAATGAAAAGCTTAGATGTTAAGTCTCTTTGATGCCACTAACAAATGGAGAAAGAACCCCAAAACATCAGAATTTCAATAATCAAGAGGAAAACAAAAATCACATCTTAAGGAAAGTTTTATCAATGGATCTAAGAAAACAGGAAAAGATATATTTAGTGACTGACCCTTGAAAACTATTTTTTTCCCCTTAGAGAGATTTTTGCTATAGGGCATATGAGCTCTCTGGAGAGACAGAGAGAGAGAAAAAGTGAGAAATTACCCCCCAAGGGGTTTGGCCACACTGCAATCCCCTTTCCTCCATTCTCCTCTTGGGATTTTGGGCATGCATGCACTTGCACTCACTCTAAGTTTCAAGTCACTGTGTCTGGGACTTGAACCTCAGTCAACCATGTGCTAGTCCAGCGATGTAACCATTACGCCATCTGCTGGTCCCAAAAACACGTATTTTAACTCTTCCTAAGATGTCTGGATCAGGACAAAGCACAGGCAGGACTGGGAAAGAAGTCATGGGACAAAACAACTGTGAGCAATTCACATGTAAAATTAAAAAAGAAAAAATTGCTCTCTGTGGCGATGTGAGGACTGTCCTACTGTCCAGCAAACTATGAACCCAAGAGCAAAATTAAGGGGCAAAATAACAGCTGAGTGCCACAGCGGATCACACTCTCCACTCTCTGAAACTCTACCCGCATTCCCTGAAGTATCCATGAATGTGTCTGCTCCAAATACCCACTTGTTTCTATTCCCCCGTCTGAAACTACACGAAATGTTTTATACTCATAAATCGGTCTGATCAGCTGACTGACTGTTCCTCCCATGACAAAGCCAGCTGTACACACGTAATGGCAAGTTGACTGTGATCACCACGACACACACAGCACCCAGAGGAGGAAGCGGCACTTCATGGTGTTCAACAAACGTCTGCTGCAGAAGCTGAATAAACGATTACTTATGTGGGATAATATTCTTCCAATGTCTTATGTTCTATAGCAGGGCTTGGCAAACCATGGCCCAAGAACCCGGGACATATTTTTGTATAGCCCTGTGACATAAGAGTATTTTTAAATTCATTTTTAAAGGGTGTTGTACCAGGGCCAGCCAGGTGGGTTATGGTATAGATGGCTGGATCCCACATGGCCAACTACATGGTTCAAGTCCCACACCCAGCAGCTTGAAAAACACATCAGGGGTGTGTGTGTGCGTGTGCGTGTGTGTGTGTGCGTGTGTGTGTGTGCATGTGCGTGTGTGTGCGCGCGTGTGTGTGCGTGTGTGCGTGTGTGTGTGTGTGCGCGTGCGTGTGCGTGTGTGTGTGTGCGCGTGTGTGTGTGTGCGCGTGCAGGCCCAAAATCCTGAAAGGAGACAGGATTTGCAGCATGGCTATCTCCCTGGGGGGCGCTTTCTCATTTTCCCTTTCTCTCTCTTTCTCACTCTATCTCCAGTGAGCACACATGCTTTATTGGGGGGGAAAAAAAGGATAAAATAAGTCCATGCAACAGAGATTGTATCTGGCTCAGAAAGCCTGAAATATTTACTAGCTAGTCCTTTATAGAAAATGTTGCTAACCTCAGCCTTATAGATTTCATTTTAGTTTTACTTATTTATTTTAAAATTATAGCCAGAGGGTTCATGCACTTGCCAGAAAAAGAGCGAGAGATACAGAGAGAGGGAGAAATGGGATGTGATCACATTCCTTCTCTCCACTTCTCCAGCCTATTGGGATTTTAGGTACACTTGCACATACACATGGTGTGTCTTTCAGGCTGCCAGGGTCAGGACTTGAACCTCATGGCTGGCCATGTACAATCTGGCTCCCTTAACCACAGACCACATAGCTGGCCTGGCATTTTAATAACTGGCGATAAACTGACAGAACTTAGAGACACTTCACAGTGATTCAATGTGAATATTCTCGTCCGCCTATGAGGAAGTACAATTAGAAAATCTTACATATCAACTGCATAATTAGTAATCTATGTCACCAATTCATTAAAACTTCTACATAAACTATTCATTTATCCCTGATAATTTTACTCTATAATTCTTGGCCATACATGCTAATATACTAAGTTCATGTTGCTGATTTCTATTTCTTTGTGGTCTTAAACACACACACACACACACACACAAAAGCAGAAATCCCCTGAAGTTTATGTGTGGCATTGACTAAAGAAGATTCTAGAACCCCCCCACCCTCCACCCCCCGTTCAATGTCACAAACCAAAATTTTACTTTCCCCTCAGATTTCCTGTGATTTCTTTTTGAAAAGCTACATGTACAATTTTTTCTTTTTGAGGGGGGAGGAATTATTGAATAACATCTGTCAATCTTGAAACTTCAAAGAGGTGGTGAAAAACCCTAACAATAGCAAAGCAGGCTGGAAGGAAGCTCTGGGATGTGGCTTTATCTAAATAAGAGCCACCCACACCCTCTGGCAGCATTAACCCTTGGACTGCAACTACAAAAACCAACAGCTGTGGATGTAAACTGAAGCTAGCATCTCCCTCACTGAGAGACCAGCAGGAACTATTTCTTTTCACCAGCCCCCACTTACCCAGAAACTCGTAAACTGAAACTAAGTACATACCGGGCTATAGGCTAAGAGTTTTATATAACATTTATTTGTTTACTTCAAGTTTCTTTCTTTCTTTCATGTGAAGAGGAGAAAGAGTGAGACAGGAACCCCTCCCTGACGGGGTCGTGCTAGGCCATGAGCCTCTTTCTTCAGCCTCTAGCCACCCCGTCGTGCTAGGCCATGAGCCTCTTTCTTCAGCCTCTAGCCAGCCGGGATCACTGGCATATCCACGGGCATGCCTGCATATTCCAGTCAAACAGGGACCCAGACCCAAGGCCTCCCCACATGGCTCCAGTATGTCCTACTGCCTGCGCCAACACAGCCGGACCTACAGCATTTATAATTAACTGACAGAGAAACCTTTTAAGGTAGAAACTGTGACAATTATAGACCCCATCTTACAGATAGGGAAGCTGCTGATCAGTCAGCTTTAGTAGTTTCCTAAAAGGATAAACTTACACAAAAGCAAAGTTGGTATCCAAGATGGAGACACTGTAGCTCTTAACCCCATGACATAATGTCTCTCAACATCACATAGGTGAGAGTTAACTAAGAATAATTTTAAAACACTTTGGGTCCAGCAGGTGGTGTTGATAGTTAAGGCAGCTGGACTCCCACATGGCTGATGGCGGTTCGAGTCCTGGACCTGGCAGCTTGCTTTCTCATTTTCCCTCCCTCTCTGTCTCTCTCTGGCCAACTTTAAAAAAATAAATAAATGAAAATAAAATAATGACAATGAATACAATGAAATAAAATAATTGTAAAAAAAGAATAATTTTACAGAACTTCTTAATTTGATTAAGTTTGGGGGCCAAACCAAGTGATTTTATAGCCATCCTTTAAGTGATATTTGTAATCCCTGGATAATGTGTCTAAGGGGGTACCTTCTGGGTGTGCAGACTCTTCCTCTTGGCTTTTAACCACAGGTGAGCAGAGTCTCTGCAAAGATATGAATATGTATCTTTTGCCTGACTGGGATGAAAAAGTCTCATAATGACGGAAAAACTTCAAAATCTTTTTCATTTCTCAGACCTTTTTCTTTTCTCAGAGCCTATCCCGGCATCTAGAATGCAGAGAAGCTCAAGCTCTAACTGATGAGCTACTACTGGAAACTTCCATGAACAGCTTCTTGGTATGTAAAATCGAACTAGACACAGCTCTGAAGGGCATGGCAAATAAGGGTAGAATTACTCTAAGGTTTATAAACAATGAGGTTCTACACTATGGTAGCAAACATTTTTAGCCTGGCCTCCATCGAGAGAATCCAGTGGGTCTGTGAATTCAAGTGAGCAAAAAATTACTCTATCTTCTCTTCATTTTCTCGAACCATGAGTCATAAGTTAACATTTCCTAGTATGTGCTCTATCTATGGCTTTGTCACCCTTAGAAACTACCAAGACTTTCATACCACACTGTGTCTTGGCATTTCATTTATACTTCTTAGACACTTCAATTATTTTTTAGTTCTGATTACTATAGAAACATATTATTGTAGCACAAATTCATTGAACAAAGATTGGCTCATTGCATTTTCAAATAATTGGTGTTCTTTGGAATACTGTGTGCTACATTTTATGTATGTAAAAGCTCACTCTGAGATGGGGTCCAC